AACTTGCGCAGCCGCCGCGCCCACGTGTCCCGCCACTGGATCACCAGGCTGCTCTTGTCGGCCACGATGCCGCTCTGGTCCGGCGAGTCCTCCGCGTTGCCCAGCAGCAGGTACTTCTTGAGGGGCTTGATCTTGGGGCACTTGCAAGCGATGTCCCGCGAGCGGATCCACAGGCTCTGGTCACCGCGCCGAATGCGGCTCGCGCCCTGCTTGTACACGGAGATGATGCTCACGGTGAACTTCCACCAGTCCCCCGCCTTGTCTGCCTTCAGGATGTGGATCTGCTCCTGTGGCCCGGCGGGCCCTGTCTGCCTGACCCTCCCCACGGCTGACAGTGGGGCAGCCTGTTTGATGGGGAGGAAAAGGACACCCAGAGCTGGGAAGTGGCTGCACCGGGCATCCCACTGGGAAGGGGGTGGATGGTGGCCAAGCTAACCTGGAAGCCCACCTCCTGATACCTGGGCCAGGGCCATCGCTTCAAGCCTCACCTCATGCCTATTTTGAAGGAGCACCCAGCACTGCCTTTGGGGACAAGCCCCCTCTTAGGTCCAGGAAGGAAAGAAGAAAACCACGGAACTGACCCCCTCGCCCAGCACTCTGGGTAGAGAGAGTCCATCTGCCCAGGGCAGGTGCCTTCAGCGCACCTGGATACCCCTTGCTGGCGAGTTGGCGGGGGACGGGACACAGGACCTCCTCAGGTGACCCCAGGCATTTCCCAAGGCCCCAATCACTTAGCACCAAGCTCATGACACCTCCAGACACACAACCTCGCACTTGACACAACCTCAGAAAACCATGATGGGAGCTGTGCTCAGGTGCAGTGCACCCTGAACCCACTTTTCAAGGTGCCCACAGCACCTCTCCCAGCATCCAGGGTTCTTGTGCTGCCCACTTCCCATCCCTGCCATGCTTCCCCCCTCCCCCTCACCTCTCACCTCCTCCAGGCCATTCCCCTTCCTCCCAATTCTCTAGCACAGCGGTCGCCATCCTTTCGGACCTCACAGACCACCAGTGGTCCACCCTTAGCACATGGGTTCTCAACCCAAAGGGCTTAAAAAAACATGAGTTTCTGGGGTGGAAGAGAATACGCATTTCTCACAAATTCCCACGTGCTGCTGAAGCTGCTGACCCAGGGATCGCACCAAGAACCAGAGCCCTAGTGAGTGCCACCGAATGTTATTTCTACAAGATATTAAGAGACTTTTTTAAAACTAGAAAATACTTTTAAAAAAACAAACTTATTTTTCAAATACTGGCTTAAACAAAGTCAAGAGATTCCCTTACTGCAGGACTTTTCAGAGCATCCTATATAATAAAACCCTAATATGCAAATTGATCAAACAGCAGAATGACCAGTCGCTATGATGCACACTGGCCACCAGGGGGCAGACGCTTAACACAGGAGCTGCCCCCTGGTGGTCACTGTGTTCCCCTGCTCAGCCAGAAGCCGGGTTCACGGCTAGTGAGCACAGTGGTGGTGGCGGGAGCCTCTCCCACCTCCATGGCAGCGCTAAGGACCCCTAAGGGATGTCCGACTGCCGGCTTAGGCCTGCTCCCCACTAAGCCGGCAGTCGGACATCCCCCAAGGGGTCCCAGACTGCGAGAGGGCACAGGCTGGACTGAGGGACACAAATGTCGTGCACCGGGCCTCTAGTTTAATCTGTAAATTGTGTGTGTGTCAGGGAGGGGGGGTTGGTTGTGCAAGTGCCCGCTTGGTGCATTTCAGTCACCAGAGCCCCATGGGGCCTACTTGGGGAACTGCTGGTGGGGGACACATTCATTCTCCCCAGTTCAGTGGATAAAGGGAGAGGCCTCTGCCATGACCTCCATTAATGGACTCAGACCCTCGTCTACTAGTGTCCAGGAAGACTAGAGGAATTCTGTAGGAACTGACTGCACCCCAGCACTCTGGGCCAGGTCTGTCTGCCCAGGGCCATATTCCCATCCCCTTGGTCAGAACAGGGTGCCTTCCGGTGCTGAGCCCACAGAGCATGCCCTGGACCCTTCACCCCTGGACCAGGCTGAGGATTACCTGGCAGCTGAGTGGATGTGAGTCCCCCCTGAGAAAGAGGCAGCCGCTTGTCCCTCCAGATTACATGGAGAAACTGAGTCACAGCAGGCTCGGGGACTTCAGCAACCAGGAGGACATGTCCCCAGGCAGTGCCTAGGGGTCATCGCCTGCCCACTTACAGCTGCGGGCACTGGGCCCACCCACAGTTCAGCCTGGCCTCCCAGGCTGGCCCGCTTCTCCCAAGGATTCTGTGGGCCTCTCCTCTCCCCGCCTGGGCCCGGGGTGATGGGAGGGGCAGGGATGGCTGGGCCCAGGGGAGCATGAAACACCATCCAACGCATCCTTCTGGGGTGAGGGAAGTGGCAGATTTTCCCATATTTTCATTTCATCTGTTCTTGGGCATCCTGAACTTTGCACTCCAGTCTGAGGGCTCCAAAGAATGGCTGCCATGGCAACCGTTTCCATGTTTTTGTCACCAAGGGACTCAACACTCAGTGTGAACTCTGATGGGGGCGGGGAACCCTCCAGCCTGAGAGAAGTGGCTGGGTTGTGTGTGTTTGACTGTGCAGACAGAGGTCACCGTGGCAACTGAGTGCCCCTTAGCTAAGCAACGGGGAGCCACCCCCGCTTCCCTGAGAGCCCTGGCTTCCTCTCCTCAGGACTGAGCAGAATACAGAATGAGCCTCCCTCCGGATGCGGCTGTCCCCCTGCCTGGGACCACAGACCCCCAGCCAGCCATCCAGCGTCCCAGCCAGGGTGGGCAGGGGTGGCCGACAAGGATGCTGCAGAAGGCGCCTCTGGCTGGGGCCGCAGGAGAACTTGGCACTGATCCGAGGCCCTGAGCATCTGTGGGTGTCATGCACGGAAGTGTGACGCCCAAATCCACATATTGGCAGTCCTAACCCCAGTGCCCCAGAAGGTGACCGTATTTGGAGATGGGGATCTTTAAAGCGGTGGTTACATTAAAATGGAGCTACTGCTGTCCTCATAAGAGGGGATCTGGACACGGACACACACGGAGGAACAGCCACGTGAAGACAGCGAGAATGCGCCACCTGCGAGCTCAGGAGAGAGGCCTCAGAAGGAGCCCGGCCTGCTGACACCTTGATGTAGAGCTTCCAGCCTCTAGGCCTGGGAGACAATAAATGTCTGTCGTTCGAGCCCCGTCTGTGGGGCTTCATTCTGGCAGCCCCAGCCACCGGACTCCGGGTGGGAGCAGAGCTGGGGAGGCCGCGCGTCCTGAGACCTGGCTGGGCGAGGCCAGGCCTTCCTCTTCCCTGCACTTGCAAGGACGTGGCCCTTCACAGGAGGACTTGCCCCAGGCCCCACCTTCCTGACCTGGA